AGCTAATTTATAGAATTTAAATGTTCCTCTCCGGCAGTTTTAAACTCAAATTCCTCAGCAGTGGTCGGGGGTTGGGGCCAAGAAACAGGAAACTGCTCTGTTTCATTGTTCATACTCAACAATAAAAAATTAAACAGCCTAAAAAGTGCAAGCTAGAGAGAATTTTTTCAGACGTTCTCTCCTCTGAATTGGAGTGATGGTGATAAAGGCAAAAATGGGATTCCTTTCTTCTCTGGGTCCCCCGGCCCTCCCTGGCAGGGGCCTGGCAGCCACACCTTGAATTTCTGGGGTGACTCAGCCCCTGTGGCACAGTGCTAGGCACGACACCCAGCACCTTACTCAAGTCACCTTTGCCAGCGGCTTGCCTCCCAGCCCCTCCCTAGGGAGCATGCTTTGGCAATGGCGTGACTGGGTGGTGAAGAACCTGGATTGTGCAACCTTGCAAGGTTGTGTAACCACCACGGCTGCACTTTTTGCACAGTCTGCTAGATAGCTTAGCACACAGCCAGAGTCTGCAGCGAGGTTCCCATGGTAAGATTTTTTTGGGAGCGACTTTCTGCTTCTATTTTACATCCCATCCTTGTTTTAGCATCTGTTTTTGTTGCCAGAAGATGAGATGGCATGAAGTCTGCCTTCCTCTCTCTTCTTATATGGAACCAGGTGGTGTATACATAAGTTAGATATTTAATATATCAAAAGGGGAGGCCTTTCTCCTCGCTTCTCATTTATGGCTTTGGGAGTTCAAAAGCCTCCTTTTGCCTCTCAGCCCTAACCAAACTCAAAAGATACTCAATTTTCTCTCTGGATCTGCTGATTCGGCTTTTTTTTTTTTTTTTTTTTTTTTTTTTTTTTTTTTTTTTTAACTGTGCATAGCGGACACCATCCTAGCCTTCAGCTCAAGAGATTGTGGACTGTATAATAATAGAAGTAATATGGCCGGGCGCGGTGGTTCACGCCTGTAATCCCAGCACATTGGGAGGCCAAGGCGGGTGGATCATGAGGGCAGGAGATTGAGACCATCCTGGCTAACACAGTGAAATCCCGTACCTACTAAAAAATACAAAAAAATTAGCCTGGCGTGGTGGCGGGCGCCTGTAGTCCCAGCTACTCAGCAGGCTAAGGCAGGAGAATCTCTTGAATCCAGGAGGTGGAGGTTGCAGTGAGCTCTACTCACTGCAGATCGCACCACTGCACTCCAGCCTGGGTGACAGAGCTAGACTCCACCTCAAATAATAATAATAATAATAGAAGTAATATAACAGCTAACATTTAATAAGTGCTTATGCTTTTAAGAAGCAATATAACAGCTAACAGGGCCATATAATAGATACCTCATCCCAGTGCCATATAATAGATACCTATCCCTTAATTCTCACAGTCCTGAGATAAGTGTTATAATCATCTTCCCATTTTACTGGTGAGAAAACTGAGGCTCAGAAAGATTCCGTAATTTATCCAAGGCCACACTGCTTGTAAGTGGCATGACAAGGCGGGCACTCTGGTCCATGTCATGCTTATCTCACGTGTCCTACTGAGCAGAAGCTCAGCTTTCCAAATTACCCATGGTGGAAAGGAAAGACATTCCTCAGGCTAGCCTCTAGGCTAACAGGGTTTATCTCATTACATTAAATAGCTGTATACTTGAAAATCATTGTTAGTCCAGGATAAGGTAGGCTACACTGCAGCAATCGACCCAAAGTATTAGTGCCTTAGCATAGCAAAGGTTTATTGTGGACTCATGCAAAATCTAATGTGAAAGTCCAGGCTGGATAGAAGGGCATGTGTTGATGTTTTGGCTGATGGTCCCAGCTGGGTCCAGTCTCAGAGTTGTCCCGTCCCAGACCCCAGGCATATGAGGGAAGAAACCTCCAGGCAATTTCTTTTTCTTTATTTTTTTCTTTTGAGACAGAGTTTCACTCTTGTTGCCCAGGCTGGAGTGCAGTGGTGTGATCTCGGCTCACTACAACCTCTGCTTCCCGAGTTCAAGTGATTCCCCTGCCTCAGTCTCCCGAATAGCTGGGATTACAGGCATGCACCACCATGCCTGGCTAATTTTTTGTACTTTTTAGCATAGACGTTTCATCATGTTGGCCAGGCTGGTCTCGAACTCCTGACCTCAGGTGATCTACCCGCCTCGGCCTCCCAAAGTACTGGGATTACAGGCATGAGCCACTGCACCCAGACTTTCCAGGCTATTTCTGCTCCTAACATTTCAAGTCGCCTCCAGCTATTCATGTTGTTATGGGCTGTTTGTGTACCCCCAAAATGCATATGTCAAAGCTCTAATCCCCAAAATGATAGTATTTGGAGACGGGACCTTTGAGAGGTGATTAGGGTTAGATGAGACCATGACGGGAGGTAGGGGAGACCTGGTTTGATAAAATCAGTGTCTTAATGAGAAGAGACAGCAAAGAGCTCCTTCCTCTCTCTCAACTGTATGAGCATAGAGTAAAAGGGGGCTCCCTGTAAGCCAGAAAGAGAGCCCTCCCCGGAAACTGAACGGGCTGCCACCTTGATCATGAACTTCCCAGCAGCCAGAACAGTAAGAAAATAAATTTCTGTTGTTTAAGCCACCCATTCTATGACAGCCAAAGGTTGGGCAGCCAGGCCAGGCATGGTGGTTCACACCTGTAATCTCAGCACTTTGGGAGCCTGAGGTGGAAGGATCACATCAACCCAGGATTTCAAGGGAGCCTGGGCAACAGAGTGGGACACCCACCTATACAGAATATAATAATAATAATTAGCTGGGTGTTGTGGCACACACCTGAGGTCCCATCTACTCAGGAGTCTGAGGCAGGGGGATCACTGGGGGATCGCTTGAGGCTGGGAAGTCAAGGCTTCAGTGAGCCATGATAGTGCCACTCACTGTACTCTAGCCTGGGTGACAAGAGTGAGACCTGTCTTAAATAAAATACGTAAATCAATAAGTCAATAAAAACATAGTTATGGCAGCAACAGCAGAGTAATACACACATTTTTCCCAGCTGAGGCTCCAGATATCATGGAATTAGACAAGACATCCCACTTTGTCCTGTTGGAACTCCTGGCCCACAGAATGCATGAGCCTATTACAATGGTTGCTGTTTTGAGGATGGTTATTTATGAAACTACAGATAACCTACACACACACAATAGATTTGCACACACCACAGGCTATAACTTTCATTCATTCAACAAATATTTACTGAACACATATTAAGAGCCAGACACTATTCTGAGTATGTATCAGTGAACAAAACAGATAAAGACCTGTCCTCCTACTGCTTATATTGTATAGGGATAAAAATTGATGTTTTTAAAAATAATCATTTTAAGTATATTTTTCTAGTTACAAAAGTAACACTTGCTTATTCAATGCATTTGAGAAATACAAAAAAGTACTTTGAAAACACACAAAAAATAATCATTATGCAGAAATAATGCATTCCTAATATTATTTTATCTGACAATCACACACACATAGATGAACAAACACACTCTTTAAACTGGAGTCAAACTTTATATTCACTTTTATATACTGTTTTTATTTCACTTAGTTATTGCAGACCTTTTCTCATGTCATTGAAATATGATTTTTAGTGGTTGCATATTGTTCCAGCCTGTAGCAATACCAATTATTTAACCATCCTGCAACTATTTTACATTTCAGTTGATTCCAATTTTTCACTGTGATAAGCAACGTCTTGAAGAACAACTTTGTATGTGAATCTTCGGCTGCATCTCTGATTAGTTCCTTAGAATATAATCAGAGAAGTGGGATTACTGGTTCAAAGGATATGCAAATGTTCAGGCTCTTGATAAATATTGTCAGATTACTTTCCAGAATGTTAGCGCCAATTTACATTCTCACCTGTATTTTATAAGATGCCTCTCCGGCATTCTTGCCAATATTCAGTATTAGAGTGTTCGTAATCTTTGCCAATTTGTTGCATTAAAGAAAGGTATTTCATTTTAAGACTGGTTGACTGCCTAGGTCGCTCAATAATTATTGGGATTTGCCTAAATCTGAGTATTTAAAACCTAGCTCTGGCACCTTCTAACAAAATACATAACCTCTCTAAGCCTCAGGTTTCCTTTTCTACCAAATGGTAACATTTATCCTGACTTCTTAGGTTATTGTGTGGATTAAATATGTTCCAGTTTATAAAGTGTTTAACACCGAGCTTGTCAAATGGTAGCTATTATCACAGGTGTGACACTTTAGAAATTATCAACACATGAATAATTCCAGCCTTTGCTCTTTCCTGTGTGTGTTAAAGAAGATCCTGATTTTGCTTCATCTTATTGTTCTTCCTTCTCTCTCCTTTGAAGGAGAAGCTTGCCATGCTTTGGGGCTTTGTGAATTAGAATTAGGAGGAATGAGAAGAAGAAGGACAGGGAGACACACTGACCATTGACAGACCACCCAAAACCCAGTGGCTAACAACAAACGTTATTCTGCTGCACATGGGTCTGCTGTTGGCTACAGTTAGACTGACTGTGGCTGGGCTGGGCTCAGCTGGGTGGTTCTGCATCAGGCTACAGGCTGACTGGACTGGATCCAAGCTGTGAATGGGTTCATGTCTGCCCCATGTATGCATGGTTAGGAACACATATGAATAGAGCAGAAAATACCCAGGGCATATTCTCATGGTAGATTACCAGAGCATAAGAGGTCAAAACAAAACCCACAAGCAAATTTAAGATCTCTGGAGTGTTAGATCTGCTAATATTCCTTTGGCCAAAGCAAGTCACATGGCTTAGCCCAACATCAGTGGGCTGGAAAGTCTCCTCTTCCCACAGTGGAAGGGGGAGAGGAAGTGAATATTTACTGAACAAAAGATCACAACAAATGTTTCCAGAAATTTGCAGGAAGAGGCTACATACAGTGCAGTGTAAGAAAACTGAGAAAAGTGATTATGAAATATGTTGGGTATGTGTAAGATTTTACAAATCAGGTTCCTCTTAATTTCTGGAAGACTTCAGTTAAGAATTTCATGTAAGTTATATTTTGCCCGTTTAGACTGGAATTTATTAGAGACAACTTCCCCTCAGGACTGATCTTATGGTGTAATGGCTTCGATAGGGTTACATAATGGAAACCATATTATCTTTTCGGTTGCCACAACCCTACACAGTTCTTCCTCTTTGGGTATTTTAGATCTTTCAAACATATCCTAATAGTTCTCTTTTTTTTTTCTTCCCAGAGGAGAACAAGTATGGGTGTCAGCTTCCTGATTGTGATTTACCAACTAGAGGCACAGTCTCTGCAGGAAATATGTCAGCTGTCTCATTGCTATCTTATTTAAAGTAGGACAGACACCAAGCTTGAGAAAACTTGGACAGGAGGACTCAGTGGTAGAAAATGCAAGCAACCAAGTCAGTCTCAGTCATGACTCACAAGCTCCAAATTCACTTATGGAATCATCCGGTGAAATCAAATTGATAGTGAGAACAGGGCGCAGCAATGATCAGAAGGAGCCCAAAGAGCTCTAATGTCATTTTTGCAGCCTTTATTCTTGGTGTCTCCCTGAAGACCATTTACTTGGAACCTAGACAGGAGACTAAAGTCTGTGATCTCTGGGTTTGCTTAGCTCTGTAGACAGCTGGTACATCACATACAAAATATTACCCCACGCTCTCATAGTGTGATGAGTTGTTAATAAATCCATTCCAAATTCTTGGTTCTCATTCCTCTGAATGTAGATAGACTGGCTGAATATGGATGTATCAGCTCTGCTTATCACTCTAAATGTCATCTGTCTTTAACTTTATCCAAAACAGTTTTATTTTGCTTCAGAGAAAGCAGTGTTCTCAACTTGTTGAAAATCCAAGCCAAGAAGAATCATAGAATGAAGAATTATGCTAAATATTTGGTCCTCAGCCTTCCTGGAGCTGTGGCACGAAGCATCCGTGGCCTCAATATGTGTTGGGTTTTCCTTGGAATAATGAATAACACGTGTGCTTTTAAAAAAATGCATGTACATTTGACAGTTTTGGGATAGGGAACTGTCCATAATTCTGTCTCCTCAAGTCATTACAAGACATTTTCCTGTCTTTCCATATTTCTACAGAGAGAGTGTGAGTGTATAAAAAATTTCCTAATATTGTTTCTGTCTCGCTCTCACCCCATCCCCAAATAGTTGCTTTTTTTTGGTTTGCACTCTTTCTGAAGTCCCAGTATAGGTGGTATTTTAACACGGTTTAAAGCCTAGACTAAGGATTTGAACAACAGTTCGAATTTTCAGCCATTTCTTAACTCTGCAACTTTTAATAAGGTACAGATTCTTCTTCTGAAAATGAGAAAAATAATAGGTGCTGCCTTGGCCTCCCAAAGTGCTGGGATCACAGTTCTAATGATGGACAACAGAGTAGGGTTGAAGTAGGAGGTGGGACTCAATGCCAGAGGCGGGGCTCGGACACCAGACCATACTGGGAATTAGCTAAAACAGGGCCGGGGTGGGAGCAGCTTTCCAATCAGACACACCCACCAGTGTGCCATGTCAGTTTACCATTACCATGGAAACACCCAGGAGTTATTGCCCCTTTCTGTGGTAATGACCTGATGACTCAAAAGCTACTACTCCTTCCCTAGAAATTTCTGCATAAATTGCCCCTTAATCTGCATGTTATTATGTGGGTGAGTATAAATGTGACTGCAAAACTGCTCTGAGTTGCTACTCTTTGCCTACAGGGCAGCCCTGTTCTGCAAGAGCAGTCACGGAGCAGTACCACCACCAGCGCTGTAACACTGCTGCCTCAATAAAGCTCTTCTCCTACCCCTGGCTTGCCCTTGAATTCTTTCCTGGGCAAAACCAAGAACCCTCGAGGGCTAAGCCCCACTCTGGGGCTTGCCTGCCCTGCATCAGGGTGACTCTAGTTAACGATATATTTCAAGGTAGCTAGAAGAGAGGACTTGAATTGTTCCCAGCACATAGAGATGATAGATACTCAAGGTGATACATATGCCAATAACCCTCACTTCATCATTATACATTCCATGCATGTAACAAAATATCACATGTACCCCATACATATGTAAAATATTATGTATCAGTGTAAAAAAGTAGCATGCATGCTCCTCCCACCAAAGAATTGAGCAAATGAATAAATGAATGAATGGTAGTTATTTGCTATTTTCTAGTAGTTGTGATCAGAAATGATATTCAAAAGAGAGGGCATCAACTAGTTGCATGAAGCTTTAATCCCAAATGGTCACTGCATCAGGGAGCTCCAGGGGTAGCTGGGGTGATATGGGAGGCACCCAGGGGGATCAGCCCCCAACTGGTCCAGAGGTGTTTTATTATTCAACAGTTGACTGTCTGTATTGGCGTTCTCTGTCTGAATGTAAGCCCTGCTTGTCAACACTGGAAATAGGTCTTCCACACTCTTTCCCAATCCCTTTTTGACCCCAAACACCAGCATTGGCAGGATGACTGAGTGGGATGAAGGTTCTAGTCAGTGACCATAGAACTTTTTGCCTCCTCAGTGCAAAGCCAACTGGCCCGTATCAGTATTGACTTCAACTTTGTCTTCTTTGGCCCTGCACTGTGAGATCTGAGCCACTGGCTTATGCAGCCAGCTTCCAGTATTACCACTGCCTGATCTTCTTCTACCTTGGAAATTTTCATTTTAACTACTCTGTAGTTTTGCTATGATCAGGCTTATGGTGATAAGGCAGTGGGTTGGCACACTTCTTCCGATGGACTAGCTAGGGCACATGTCCTCCTTCCAATTCTCTCTTAAATTGAATCACTCCTCTGGCTTGGCCAGGACACCAGCTTTGCCAAGGTGACTTTATTATGTGTATCCTGGTACACATTCCCTTTTGTGTATGTAGCTCTGTTTCCTGGCATCATTATTTTTGGTAGGATTGGGGTTGATTTCTGGCTACGTGTTATTTTTCCAGCTAAAATATTTTGTTCCTGCACTTCGACATTCCATGAAGCTTTGTGAAAACACTCGTCCTGCTTCGGAAGGTTGTTTGTAGAGGGTTATATTGCCCTAAACTTTTCCTTCCAGGCCATGGTGCGATTCACAGGACTGAGACGAGCTGCAGCTCTGCTGCTCATTCACTGCGGGACTTGGGGCTTAAAACTTGATTTTTGTGAGCCTTTGTTATCACACCTGTAAAGTGGAGATAAGGAGAGAACAAAAGAGATAATGTGAATCGAAGTACAAAGCAATAGAACGTAGTCATTCATTCTACCGCACATCAGCCATAGTTCCCGACCATAGGGAGCTATGGATTGATGGGGGAAATAACACATTAATAGTCAATTAAGATACAGACTCAGACGTCCTACAAACAGTGATAAATGCAAGGTGTTATAAAAGCACACGGGAACAGGGCTGAACTCAGTCTTGAGGGGTTAGAAAAAGCATAGAAAGAGTAGGAATTATTAATAGTAATGATAGTTAAAATTAGTGGGGTGCTTACAATTCACAATTGCAAAAATATGGAACCAGCCCAAATGCTCATCAATTGACGAGTGGATAAAAAATTGTGGTATATGTATACCATGGAATACTGCTCAGCCATAAAAAGGAAAGAAATAATGGCATTCGCAGCAACCTGGATGGAATTGAGACATTATTCTAAGTGAGGTAGCTCAGGAATGAAAAACCAAACATTATGTGTTCTCACTTATAAGTGGGAGCTAAACTATGACGATGCAAAGGCATAAGAATGATAGAAAGGACTTTGGGGACTCAGGGGAAAGGGTGGGAGGGGGATGAGAGATAAAAGACTACAAACTGGGAACAGTGTATACTGCTCAGGTGATGGGTGCATGAACATCTCAGAAATTACCACTAAATAACATTCATGTAACCAAAGACCACCTGTTTCCCCAAAACCTATGGAAATAAAAAATAATTGAATAAAAAACTAGTGGGATGCTTCCTGTGTGTCAAGTAGTATGCCGAGCATGATCTCATTTAGCTCTCACAAAGTGTGCCCATCTCATAGAGGTTTTAATTTTCATTTTATAATCAAAGAAACTGGTCCAAAAAGCTTCAGTAAGTTGCCCAAGGACATACAATTAGGTGGCATGGTCAGATGTTAATTTAAGTTGAATTCCAGAACCCTTGCTTTTAACCACTAGGCAAATCTGTTCATGCCATGCCCCTGCTTAAAACTGACCATTTGTGGCCAGGCGTGGTGGCTCACGCCTGTAATCCCAGCACTTTGGGAGGCCAAGGCGGGTGGATCACCAGAGGTCAGGAGTTCGAGACCAGTCTGGCCAACATGGTGAAATCACATCTCTACTAAAAATACAAAAATTAGCTGGGCGTGGTGGCACACACCTGTAATCCCAGTTACTCAGGAGGCTGGGGGAGAAGAATCACTTGAACCCAGGAGGCAGAGGTTGCAGTGAGCTGAGATCGCACGCCATTGCACTCCAGCCTGGACGACAAGAGCAAAAACTCCGTTTCAAAAAAAAAAAAAAAAAAGACAACAGAAAAAAACCCTGAGCATTTGTGACTTTCCATTGCTCATAGGATAATGACTAAACTCCTTTATATCCCTAAAAGTTTCCTGCCCAACCCTCTGGTCTTACTCTTCATCCTTTTCTCTGCCCCCCGCCCATGGTCATCAGCCTCAGCAGCAGATCATAAACGATATACTCAGCTAAGGAGTCTGAGCTTGTCCTATCACCAACAGGGAGCCATGGAGCTTTTAAGCAGATTGAACAGGAGCAAGACAAGACCTGAAAACGCCAGTGAGGAGGCGGTTGAAGTAACCCAGGCACAGGTACATGGGGGTGTGAACTAAGGGACAGAAAGAGGGAGGGAGAGGGAGAGGGGTGAATTGGATTTAAGACACATTAGCTTATGGAATCTACAAATCTTGGTGACTGATGACGCAGGGGAGTCCAGCAGAGCGAGGACTCTAGGCTTATAACCACATTTCTAGATGTGGTTAGATGACAAGGTCTTAGATGACAAGGTAGAGGGCACTAGCTATTTTTAAGGAGCTGCTATCAATGCCTAACAAAAGCAAACAACACCCACGATCTGCGTTTTTATTACATGTATGCTGCAAGGCCCTGAAAGCTGTACGATAATTTCCGTTCCCTGTCCCTTTTGTTCACTCCCTTCCACACTGAGTGTGGGAATTCACTGAAAGCTCAGCGAAACCCATCACCTCTGCCACACCCCCGCCCCCTGCCCAAGTTGAACTACAAACCCACACATCAGTCCCAGGTTAGCAATCTAACAGTGCCTGAAATTAAGCATTTAAACATTAAAATCAATCAAGCCCAAAGAACCTAACTTGAAGAGGTGTTTAAAAGAAGTAGGCTGAGGTACACCGAGAAAAACAACTTAAATTATTAAAGTGGAGTTTTCACCATGCAGGAAAAATGTTCCAATAATGTCAGATTAAAAATGTAAATCTATTTACCTTCCAGACGGTTTTTATGAGAGCTCTTATTAAAATCAGCTGCCTATCTGTTTGTCTGTGAAACAGAGTTTGTTACTTAGGGAAGGTAGTCAGACCCAGGCATGCTGGAATCATTTTCTCACATTTGTCACCGACTGAATAGCTCCTGTGACTTCTGGTTTGTCAGTTAATTACTCTATAAACTTTCCCACTGAAAACGGAGGTCTTATTTTGTGTTGTTTTTTCTTTCTTTCTTTCTTTTTTTTTTTTTTGTTTTTTGAGATGGAGTCTCGCTCTGTTGCCCAGGTAGGAATGCAGTGGTGTGATCTCGGCTCACTGCAACCTCTGCCTCCAGGGTTCAAGTGATTCTCCTGCCTCAGCCTCCCGAGTAGCTGGGACTACAGGTGCCCGCCACCACGCCCAGCTAATTTTTGTATTTTTAGTAGAGATGGGGGTTTCATTATGTTGGCCAGGCTGGTCTCGAATGCCTGACCTCAAGTGATCCACCCGTCTTGGCCTCCCAAAGTGCTAGGATTACAGGGATGAGCCACTGCACCCAGCCTCAGTGTTGTGTTTTTTTCTGAATCCAAGTGACAAATGTTCATGTTGTCTAAAGCGGATTTTTTCCAATTTATCTCCTTCCTCTTGACCCTGTAGTGCATTTGTAATTCCAAAATTATGACATTAATATCACTTCCATATCAACGAACTTTGTGTCTAGGTTATATGGTTAAGAGAGCTTTGAGGCAGAATTAGTCAGATGGAGAAACCATGAGGAAAAAAAAGGCCTTCATAAGTCAGTGATGGACAAGACGACTTATTTTCAACTATGTTGCCAGAAACTCCAAAGGGTCATGTTTTCATTCATGAAATAAAATATTATCTATATCAGTTCGGTTTAATAGAAATATGTTGTGAGCCCCTATGGAAGCCACAAATGAAATTTAAAATTGTCTAGGAGCCACATAATAAAAGCACAAAGAATTATGTAGTAATTTTAATATTGTTTTAGTTAATTCTATATATTCCAATACATATTTCAATGCAATGTAAATCCTACTGAGATCTTTTACATTCTTTTTTGTATTAAGTGTTTGAAATTCAGTTTGCATTCTATAGTTAAGAGCATATCACAGTTGAGGATAGCCACATCTCAAATGCTCAATGTCAGGAGTAGCTCATGACTACAGTACTGCATTCTGCAGATCTATGCAGTTCAATGACAGCTTTCCCCATCAAATTGATAGACCAAGAATAGGTTTATACATTTAATAAATCTACCTTTTATTCCAAATGAGAAAGAAAATGAAATGTGACTATGGGAAAACCTGGCCAAAATTTCTCTTGCTACCCCGCAGGTTAAATTTATTTTTCCTATCATTGTTCCTTGGTTTCAGGTCTAGTCACGTATGAGAAATCATCCTTTTAAGGGGGTCGACAACTTCATTCAAGGGACAATAAAACTAAGGCATTAAAATAAATAACCAACTGCACATTTTAAAAAATGAGGGGTAAAAATGTCAGTTTCAGATGGTGCAAAATTTTCATTAATATATGTCAGCAGCTCTCTTTTCTGCAAGCTTCTGACTATATTAAACATGAATTACAAGAACTCTGTTGGTTCCCAGCAGTATTTTTCTGTAGATTAGTATGACAACTTAAAAATATATAGATACATTTGGCAGCTCTGGGACGACTTTAATTTCTAGCTGAAAGAACTCTCACGCTCAGCATGTTTTGGGGGTGGGTGGAGGCTACACCAATTAGATGCATCCTGAAAACTTTTCTAGTTTTCAGTTTTCTAGTTTGTAATTGTATTACAAAATAAATCAAGTTCTGTTTGATGTGCTGAACATCTTGAGCTTTCTAGCTCAAACCCAGTGAACACATTATCTTCGAAGCTGCAAATGCATTTTGTGTTTTATACATTGGGGATTATTTTGCTGTAGTAGGCAGCATGGTTTGGCATGGTATTGTGGGAACCTTTTAGAATCAATAGGATCTGCTTCAAATCTCAGTTATTCACTGGATTATTCGGGGGAAGTCTTTAATTCTCTGAGCCTCAGATTCCCCATCTGTGTAAAAGAGATAATAATGTCTATTTCAAATACTATTGTAAAAATTAAATGTGATCCTAAATATACAATGCCAGAAGCAGGCACTTGATTAATGACAGTCCTCTGTTCCTGCCTTTCTCAGGGTAACTGGTAAGTGAGATTCAATGATGTTAAGTATTCACAGACCTGATGTTTGCTGTAAGGCTTTGTATTAGTTGTCTTTTTGCTAAGTAATAAATTAGCTCAAAACTTAATGGTTTGAAACAACAAACATATATAATCTTGCAGTTTTTCTGGGTTGGGAATCTGGACACAGCTTAGCTGGGTACCTTTGCCTTAAGGTCTGTCATGAGGTTTTAGTAAAGCTGTCAGCTGGGGCTGTAATTTCATCTGAAGGCATGACTGGGGAAGATCTGCTTCCAAGCCCACTTCTGCGGTTGTTGGTAGGATTTAGTTCTTTGTGAACTCTTGGGTTGAGGACCTTAATTCCTCACTGGCTGTGGACTGAAGGCCTTTACAGTTCTTTGTCACATGAGCTTTTCCACAGGCAGTTCACAACATGGCAGCTAGCAAGAGAGAGAGAGACCAAGGATAGGAGCCAGAGTCTTCTTGCAACCTAATCTTGGAAGAGACCATCCCCCTGCTTTTGCCATATTCTGTTTGCTAGAATTGAGTCACTAGGTCCAGCAACACTCAAGGGAAGGGAATTGCACAAGGGTGTGAATATTTGGAGATGGGGATCATTAGGGGCTGTCTCAGAGCTTGCTGACAGCAGGCTTTTCTCCCTGTTTTTTCTTTTCCAAATCAATTTCAGGCAATACAGCAGGCTTTTTCTGCAGCTTTAGCCTTCATGTTTCCTGGCCTTACTCCTCCCTCACATGTAGGTTCTAAGTCTGTAATACAAATAAGAGCTGAAAACACCTGAGTTATACAATAAGGAACTCTGCTAAATGCTTCACATAGCCCTTATGACATCATACACCCTTATATTATATGCCCTTACATTATATACTCTTATGACACTACATGATGTGGTCATTTGTTAATTTAATACTCATCTATATCTCAATATACTGTGAGCTCCCTGAGGATAGGGAATTGGTTTTGTTCACTGCAGAAATCCAGAGCCTACAACAGTAATAACTGTTTGTCAAATAAATAAAGGAAGGAGAAAGAGTCCTTTTGCTTCACACAACAAACCTAGGAGGTGGGTACAGTTCTTATGCTCATTTCACAGGAAATTGAGACTCAGAGATACACTGAGTTTCTCAGCCTTACATAGCTAGGAAGTAGTGGAACCTAGGACCCCAGGTGTATCAAGCCCCCTCAAAGCCCATTCTCTTAGTTACCTGAGTCTGTGGCCTCCTGCTTTTATGTTGGGGGTAGAAAGTGTGTGTGTGTGAGTGTGTGTGAGAGTGTGTGTGTGTGTGTGTGTGAGTGTGTACGTGTCAGAGAGTGTGTATGTGTGATGTATCTGGGAGGGACTTAGCGATCTTCTTATACCAGGCAGCTTCTCAGTAGGCAGTTTCCACCACCCACTATAATCTGGAGTAGAGTAAGCCTTCCTTGGCTGAATCCTCAAGTGAATTTCTATTTTCTTCACATATTGGAGAGAAGAATGAAAATCGGATGAAGGGAAGGGAGAGCAGAGAGCAAGAAATATGGAACCATAGAAACCATGAGTCACAGAAGTGACTGGGGGAGTTGAACGTCTCCTACTGTCTCTGCCTGATTTTTATGAAGTGAATCAAACTAAGGCAGACTTGGTGTCAGTAAACTTTTTATAGGTAAGGTTTGGTCCTTCCAGTGTCCCTGCTCCTTTTATCTTCTTGTCAGTTGCCACAAGTTCCTACTCTTATTCAAGTTTAAATATATTTTTTTGAAAGTTTGAAAGGTCTGCGTCTTAGGCGCTTTGTGAGAGAGGTAAGACACTGACAATTAAAAAAAAAAACTATGATAACAAAACTAACATATATTGAGTGCTTACTATGTACTAGGCAATATTCTAAGTGTTTCCCATGTACTAACTTATTTAAAAGATCCTATAGAACCATTAAGTCAACCCTACGGATGACCTTAAAGGTAGATATACTAGTTATCTATTACTGCATGTGAATTATCCTGAAAGTTAGTGGCTTAGAACAGGAATGAACATTTATTATTTCTGCCAGTTTCTGTGTATCAGGAATTTGGGAGTGTCTGGGGGTTCTATTCCAGCTCACTGCAAGGTCAATCACGTTAGCCAAGGTACAGTCATTCAAAGACTTTACTGGGGCTGGAGGATCTACTCCCAAGATGGTTCACTCCAAGGCTGGCAAGACAGCAGGAAGCTCAGTTTCTTCTCATGTAGACATATCCACAGGGGTGCTTGAGTGTCCTTACAACATGGTGGCTGGCTTCCCCCAAGCCAAGTTATCAAAAGAACAAAGGAGAAACTGCTATGTCCTTTTTGACTCAATCTTGGAGTTATCTGCTGTCACTTCCACAATAGCCATTGGTCACATATGGCAGCCCCATTCAGTGTGGAAGGACACTGCACAAAGGCATGGATGCTAGAAGGTTAGAAGCTTTGAGAGCCATCTCAGAAGCTGGCTTCCACAACAGTTGCCTTGTAGTATGTACCAGAACTACACAAAAGCTAATGCTTCTTGAGCAATTACTGTGTGCAAGGTACCATACTAGAGACTTTATATATATTATCCTTTTAAATCCTGGACAGCAACTCTAAGATCCAGGTGATACTGTAATCCCCATTTTACAGATAAGGAAACTAGGACTCAGAGAGGCTAATAACTTGCACAAGGTCATAGAGCTAGTTTGTGGCAAGTGAAATGAGCATAGGAGCACATCTCAGACATACCACAAGTTCAGTTTGTGCTATTTTCACCTGTAATGTTGCAGGGGCCGCTGTGGGGAGTAAATGAGAAAATGTTTGCAAACTACAGAGCATTGTATGGAGGCCCACAGAGAGAAGACATTCTTTCTTCCCTCCTTCAGCAATGTGCAACCATGTCAGAAGCACACATGCATGGTCAGAGTGTCTCTTGGTAAATAAGAGACAGAAACCACTTTGTTTTTGATTTTTATTAAACCAATCTTAAAAAAGATTGATTGGATCCATAGGACGTAAACAATTAGCACTGAAATCTCTCACATTTCCTGGAAACTGAATTTTTTTTTTTTTTTTTTTTTTTTGAGACGGAGTCTGGCTTTGTTGCCCAGGCTGGAGTGCAGTGGCCCGATCTCGGCTCACTGCAAGCTCCGCCTCCCGGGTTCACGCCATTCTCCTGGCTCAGCCTCCAAGTAGCTGGGACTACAGGCGCGCACCACCACGCCCGGCTAATTTTTTGTATTTTTAGTAGAGACGGGGTTTCACCGTGTTAGCCAGGATGGTCTCGATCTCCTGACCTCGTGATCCGCCCGCCTCGGCCTCCCAAAGTGCTGGGATTACAGGTGTGAGCCACCGTGCCCGACCGGAAACTGAATGTTTTGTGCTTGGAATTCTAAAGAACTGGGAAAAAGGAGAGTAATAAAGTATAAAGAATGGTTTCATCTCCTGCCCAGCTTATATGGTGAGGAGGAGGTTGGCAGTGATTTAGTATAATTACAAAAACAACAGTTGGGCCGGGCACGGTGGCTTACACCTGCAATCCCAGCACTTTGGGAGGCTTAGGCGGGCAGATCACGAGGTCAGGAGATGGAGACCAGCCTGGCCAACATGGTGAAACCCCCGTTTCTATGAAAAATACACAAATTAGCTGGGCACAGCAGCAGGCACTTGTAGTCCCAGCTACTCGGGAGGCTGAGGCAGAAGAATCCCTTGAACTCGGGAGGCAGAGGTTGCAGTGAGCCGAAATGTGCCACTGCACTCCAGCCTGGGAAACAGAGTGAGACTCTGTCTCATAAATAAATAAATAAATAAAAACAACAGTTGACCTTAAATAAGGTTTTACATTAGTCCAAATGATTTCAAAAACATTAATATATTTAAAAGTGTGTGTGCCTGTGTGCATGTGAGAGAGAGAGAAAGAGAGAGAGAGAGAGAGTCAGAGTGAAACTTGCAAAGGAAGGAAGTCCATGTGCCCAAAGAAACCTAAGGAAACAAGAACTATAGCACTGGATCAGTCGCATTATCTTTCCATATCCCTAATGTTTAGAGGCAAAAGAGCAGCTGTAGGAGAAATTATTTGCTTATTCACCCCCTCAGATATTGTTATCAAAGGCAGGGGGCCTCTTCCCAACAAGCTTCCTGGAACAATGCACATACTCACATGCACAGGAAATTTTGCATAAAATTTTAAGGGCTTTAAAATTCCTTAAAGCCCATGGGACAATGTCCTTAATATTCATCAATCCCAAGATAAAAGCCCTGAATGCCAAATCATTTAGATAATTGATTTATATTTCCATATGTACTACGAACTACGGAACTTGTTAAACTTTCTTCCCTTATATCACATTTTCTCATTACCTCGAACTATCGTTGGTATTTTAAAATTGTGACTTGATCCATTTGAGCCTTTATGTTTCCAGACTACGGCAGGCAATTAAAAAGTAAAGTAATTGAATCTTAACACCCTTCAGAGTGTCTCCAGGGCATCCCAAAATCTGATGCAGGCATCCCTTTTATAACTGCCCCTGTACCCATACCTTCCCCTTTCCTTCAGCCAGGTGCAGTTTGTGTAAAGTAAACTTAGCCCTTTCGAGGGGTGGATTTTAGGGATGCAGTTCTATTGTTTTGACAAATGTATACAGTTGTGTAACTACCACTATAATCAAGATTAGAACAGTGGCACTGCCCCCAAAAGCTTTAATTTGTTGATCCATTTTATCAGTTGATGGACACTTGAGTTGTTTCCAGTTTTTGGCAATTATTTGCATTAGTCTTTTGCTTTTTTTGGGTGGGGGGGTCGGACAGAGTGGAGCACAAAAGTGTCATCCCCTTCTTCCACTATCTAAGTCTTTTGGGACTTTTCACCAGTGCCCTCTAGAAGCAACTGCATTGGTGCAGCTATATGTTTTGCATTGAGCCTTTCATGACCTTTTTTTTTTTTTTTAATTTTACTTTTTCCAAATTGGGTCCCAAACGTTCAACAGGTCAAGGTGGACACTATGCAGACAAAATAACTCGTGTGGTCCACCCTGTGTGCATGGAAGGTGTCAGCTGCTCTTACCTGTGGCTCCAGGATCATCAGCCTTGGAATCAGCCACGATGGTAAAAATGCAGAAACTGAGGCTCCACGCCAGATCTACTGAATCAAAGAGTCAGTATTTTCACAAGATCGTCAAGTGTGCCGGATGCATATTAAAGTTTGAGAAGCACTGGTATTCCACACTCGCTACTAAAAATATACTACAATTTTCTCATAAGATTTGGCCCTTTAAGTTTTTCTCTCTCGGTAGTAAACTCACTTTGTAGTTTGAGTAAAGAACTCAAGTTTTGGACTGGGCGCTGCATCTCGCTGGGTGTGGAAGCAAAGGCAGAAATGAGAGGGACAAAAGGAGGCAGAGAACAGAGTCCAGGCTGTTAGAAGACCCCCGCGGCCAGACCCGGGAGGCGACGAGAGACCGAAAGGGTGAACCCTCCGCCCCTCTCGGCGGCCCCTCGGAGTCAGGACACCCAGGGTAGGATGCCGGCGGCCACGCGCAGCCCAGGCGCTTGCAAAACTTAGCGGAGCCGGGCCGGGGCCGGGGCCGGGGCCGGGCCCTGGGCGGGCTGGCGGGAGGAGGGACAGGCGGGAGGGCGGGGCCGGCGCGGCGAGGGGCGGGGTCAGCGCCGAGGCCGCGGGGGCAGCGACGGCGCCGGGCAGCGGGAGCGGCGGCCGCGCCATGTGGCTGCTGGGGCCGCTGTGCCTGCTGCTGAGCAGCGCCGCGGGTGAGTCGGGGGGCGGCCGGCGAACTTCCCGCGGGGCAAGGGGTGCGGGGCGCGGCGGCCGGGTGCCATTGCGTCCCCTCCCGGGCACGGGCCGCTCTCCGGGCGTGGGTGTGCGCGGAGGGCGGACCCCGGCGCCCGGCTGGCCGGGACCCTGCGGAGGGGCCGCCGCGGGGTGCGCGCCGTCCTATTGTGTGGGCGTGCGCGCCGGGTCGTGTTGTGCTGTGTGCGCGGGCGGGGCTCTGTGCGGTCCGGGTCTGGGGAGCCCGGCGGCTGCCCCGATTGGGCGTAGCTCGAGTGTGGCTGTGTGTGTGTTGTGTGTGTTGAGGAACGGAGGCGGGGAGAGGAGAGGAGAGAACTCTTCCCTGGTCTCGTCTTCCCAGACGCCCGGGCGCGCGCGGCTGCGTTAGCCTCCTCGGGGCCTCTTCCCGAGTCTCTGGCGTGCACTCCGTGCCTCAGTTTCCCCACTTGCACCGCGGAGGGAGTAGGAAAGCTGCTTCCTTTCATTCCTCTCTGGGACTGTTTGGTTTGGGTAAAGTGAGTTGAAGCAGGGCCGGATCTGGGAATTCTTCATTTTTCCCTCTGATCCTGGGAACCGAAGCTTTATTTAAGACGTCTGACCACCCTGCTTGCCCGGCGATAGGCGCCCTGACCGGCGAGGGGCCCTGGGAGAGGACACGGGGCTTCATCCGGCGGCCCTTTGAACTTGGCATCACTACCGCGTGTGCATCCCGGGGCCTGGACCGCAGCAAGCCTGCTTCCCTTCCAGACAGCGTGCTGTTCCCAGGAACTTTTCTGCTGATGTGGGCACGATCCGAATTCCAGCCTGGGAGCCCTTCCTCCTCTGCCCCTGCCCGCCGCCCACAGCTGTCAGCTGTCCCTCCTGGACTGGACCCGCCCTTGGTCCTTTGACGTTTATTTCTGGGCATCTGATGCCCAGAATGTGGGTGACAGGGCCCAGTGAACTTTCTTCAGTAGAGTCTTGCCTGCCTGGCGTTTGTGCCATCCGCATATCTAATAGCTGCCCTGTTTTGCCAAGTGCTTCTAGCAGCTTGGCTGTCGAGGTGTCTTTGGTGGTGTATGGGTTTGCTAAGTTGAGGCTCACTTCATTCTGAGCTGTCCCTTGGAGATATGAATGCGTTAAAGGGAACTATCCCCTCTTCCTTGATGTCCCTGGTCCTGGGCATCCTCACAGCCCACTAGGCAGCCTTTCCTGCTCTCAGACCCATGACATCATCTCCTCTCCTCTGATACCCCATTTAGATGCTTGTGGGTTTGCTGGGCTTCCAGGGAGGGGCTAGACCTCCTGGTGACTGCTGTGGATTTTTAACCAGGTCTGGGTGAGAGTGCCCTTAAATTAGTACACCTGGGGAGAGAGTTCTCACAGGACATTGGGCACCCAGGAGCAGGTGTGAATTGTTTGGAGGCTGTTAGAGCAGGTCGATTTCCAGGGCGTCTACAGACATGAAGACCTGTTTGGATTCACAAATTCAATTTGTGTAGCTGTGGTGTGTCCCCTCATAGCATCTGAGAAGGACAGCTGGCTCTTGTGTGTGCCCTGGGAGAGCCACTGTGGCCAAATAGAAACTGTTATTTATTGCATCTCCCAGTTGGTACTGGGTTGCTTTAGTTGAGTCTCCATCTCTGTAAAAATAGTTGTAAAGTTAATTTTGTCCCTCTCTGGTCAGCAGTGGCTATTTAATGTGTGTGTGTACATCTAAAATAGGGCTAAAATAAATAAAATGGTCATAGTGGGGAGTGGAGGGGTAGGGGGAGGAATAGCGTAACTGTCCCCAGTGCGTTTTCCATTATCTGAGGGCTTTGAATTACCTTTACAGTTGCTTCCTTAGAAACATCTAGGCAGGTTGGAGGGTGTGCATCTTTCATGTTACATTAAGCATCATCTTTTTAGCATGGACTTCACTTTGACCCAAGTGTTGCCAGAAACAGGGCTGGTCATTTTTCCTAATGTCAACCAGATGCTCCTGGGCGCCCAGCCCATAAGAAAAGCCTGTTTGGTTCAGTTTGGGTTTCATAGCCAGACCAGAGACCCTACCCCTCCATCCCATAGCCTGTGCTTCGATCCTCTTCTGGGAAGTTGATAAAACAAGAGAGATTGTAAAAGCCAAGACTTTGGATTTCTGTCTCCATCTGTTAGTCTGTGACAAAGAATCCCGGGGTCAAGGTTGAACCCTAGTTAGAGCCTGGGTCTTTGTGGGGCTGGAAAGCCACTGACATTCCAAGAGCAGTTTGGAGGCCTTTTTTATTCAGGAACCTTCTTAGAAACCTTCTTGTGTATTTTTTTCTTCCTTTGTTTTTATTTGTGTTAGGGAAGTGAAGCATTGATTTTCACCGTGACTATTTTTTAATGTATCCTGCGAGAGAGACTCAGCCCGGGTCACGTCATCTGATGTCCAGTTTTCCTGCATGTGGGTGCAGTCAGTGGGTGTAAGTGTGTAGGGCTTGAGATATTTCCAAAGGCGGCCATGCTGGGTGATGGTCCCATCTTCTCACCTCCTCCAGGACTGACCTTGGCCTAGACCTTCTGACATTGTTTATCAGTGAAAAGGCTTGATTTTCCCGTGTGTACTCCCAGCAGTGAGTATTGACCTTTTCTCCTGCAAAGATCTGCTTAGTGGTGCGAGGGATGGGTTTTGTTGTTTTTAACTAGCTGAGTGGCTGTGCACAGCTCAGCACAGCTCAGCTCAGCTCAGGAAGATGAGGCCTAGAAGAGGCCTTGTACACCAGAGTACAAATAAACACACCTTGTTGCTTTTCATCTTCAAAGAGATGTGACTGAGGCTCCCTACTGGGGTGTGAGATGTTTTTTCCTGACAGCCAACTTAGGCCATTTACTCTGGGATAGGTGGGGGAGGGAGAGAGATTAGAGTAGGAGAGGGTGGGGTGGTAAATTCTGAGCCTTGAAGAGTGGTTTAGACACCTTTCAGCCAGTCTGCAGGATAAATTGAAAGTGGACTTGTCACCTTTGTAAAGCAGTTTAGAGAATTTGGAGTTTAGGAACACTTATAATCAAGTAATTTCATATTAAAGAATTGGCCTTAAGCCGGTGTGGTAGCTCACGCCTGTAATCCCAGCACTTTGGGAGGCCAAGGCGAGTGGATCACTTGAGGTCAGGAGTTTGAGAGCAGCCTGACCCACATGGTGAAACCCTCATCTCTACTAAAAATACAAAAATTAGCCAGGCGTGGTGACGTGTGCCTGTAATCCCAGCTACTCTGGAGGCCGAGGTGGGAGAATCACTTGAACTTGGGAAGTGGGGGTTGCAGTAAGCGAAGATCGCGCCACTGCACCCCAGAACAAGATTGCCTCAATTTAAAAAAAAAAAAAAAAAGAAAAAAGAATTGGCCTTTACAGCCTTGCCTGTTTGCGTGGGCAAGGGGAAGAGAGGGAACCCACTATTAGTGAAACATCTCCTGTGTGTGAGATGCTTTGCCCATTACTTTAAGCACATGATCCCATTGAAACTTGCCAAGGATATCATGTGGCAGGAAATCATTGTGTGGTTCAGGAGAGACTGATAATACCCAGGATACCACAATAAAGGCTGAAGCCTAGATTGTAACTTAAGCTTCTCCTTGCCCCCAACCTGGGCTGTTGCCGTTCTGTTTCCAGCCTTCCTGCACCATGCTTCCATGCCTTTCCTCCACATCACTCTTGTGAATTGACAGAATCAATGAGATTGTGTACATGAATGCTCCCCCTCCCCATATCTGTTCACTTTGTGGTCACTGCCCAGGATTTGTTCAGCAGAGACATCAGCTTTCTCTGCAGGACACTTTGGTGTTCATGGTAAATACATAAAGTACATCTCAATGCTTATGTGAAGGTGAACCTTTTTCAGAATAACTCTGGTCCTTTTGCTGTGTGTGTGGGTGAGTGACAGACACGCTAGGCGGGGACATGATACCAGCCAGGGTTCCATTTCTTGACCCGAATTGTACTCACATGGGGCTTCGTTTTTATTCTTTGAGCTCTAAATTCATATTTCCACCCTTAAAATGTGTTTATTGTATTTTAGAATTAAAAAAATAAGTACAGCATGGACATGCCTTGGAGTGATGGAACTGTTTTTAGCTGTGGGATTGCCCCAGGGACGGATCTATTTTTGGTTGTTGGGTTTTCTTGTTTGTTCTTTTTCTCCTCTTTCTGTCTTAGAAATACTTAGGAAATGCTTGGGCCATTCTAACCATGCAGTTTTGCTGTTGTTGTTTTGCCAGTGTCTCTACGTGACAACCAGGGAGATTTTTAAGTTGTCTGTTCGTGTGTGTGTGTGTGTGTGTGTCTGTGTGTACGCATGTGCATATGTATGAAACTGCCTTCTATTGCTGTGAAAATATCTACTCACTTGGATGCTAAGGAGTGCCTTGAAGATGTTTGCTGGGAGAGCAGCCAGGTACTTTTGATATGCCATATTTGCTTGTCACATCGTTGGCTTGATGTTTAATATATCTTAAGATAGTACGTGGATGTTTATGGCAGAGTAACTGCTTGGTCGGGGGGAATAGCAAAAGTTTACTTGAGGTATGATTCTTAGGGCTTTTGGAGGTGGTTGCAGGGATGGGGTTAGTCTCGGACAGGGTTTCTCAGCCTTGGTACCAATGACACCTTGGCATGGATAGTTCTTTGTTGTGGGGGCTGTCCAGTACATTGTGGGATGGTCACAGCAGCATCACTAGTTCTCGATGCCCATATTGGCTTCCTCTTCACCCAGAGTGGTGATGGCCAAAACTGCCTCCCGACATTGCCACATTGCCCCTAGTTGAGAACCCCTGGTCTAGGGTGGATGCATCTTGAGCACATTTCTGTGCATCC